GTTTATGAGGAATATCAACAGAGTACTGTTTCCTGAGCCCTTGGCTTCTTATCTCCTTGTGTGAAAATGCACACCAAGGACAGCTTTCCTCTTTTCTTGATTAACTTAAAAACCAGAAACTTTCTCTTCAAGTGAACATGTCTACTATATTTTAAGTCTTTTTCCATTGTCTGCGTAGAGGTTTCTCTTTCTAATATTTTATTACAATAATTTTCAAACATATAATAGAGTTGAAAGATTCTCTTAATATTTTACTATAATCTCTTCATCACCTACTTCTCCACTTATCCATCCTATTTAGAGATTTTTGTAGAAACAGCTATGATTGTAATATAAAATTTATATACTACTTTCTCACTAAATATTAAAAGATTTACTCAGTTTATTAGTTATTCATAAATATTGTTTCAAACGATTTTAAGATATTTCATTAAATATTTCATCTAGGGACACCTGAGTGGCTCAGTGGGTGAGCATCTGCCTTTGGCTCAGGGTGTGATCCCGGGGTCCTGGGATTGAGTCCCGCATTAGGCTCCCCGAAGGGAGCCTGCTTCTCCCTCTGCCTATGTCTCTCTGCCTTTCTCTGTGTCTCTCATGAATAAATAAATACAATCTTAAAAAAAATTTTCATCTAATTTATTGGTAATGATTCTGCATCTTAGATTTTGTATTTAATACTGTTACGTACATTTTTATGTTAACTTCTTTTCTGTTTTTAAGATTCAAAGAAAAATTAGATTCCCTTATATCCAAAGGAAATAAAAACACTGTGTTGGAGAGATGTCTGGACCCGCATGTTCATAGCAGCATTATTCACAGTAGCCAACAACCTAAGGCAGTTGTCAAGACATGGGTAAAGAAGCTGTGGTGTATATATGTACCATGGGATATGTTCAGCTGTAAAAAAGGAGGAAATCCTGCCATTTGGACGACATGGATGGATCTTGAGGCATTATGCTAAGTGAAACAGTCATACAGAGAAAGATAGTGTATGATCCTACTTACATGTGGAGCAGACTCCTTGCTCAGCACAAAAAAAGCACCCCTCCCTCCCCCCCAAAAAAAATCCTCTCTCATACTCCTAGAAAAAGAGACTACATTTGTGGTTACTAGAGACAGGGAGAGGAATTGGAGAAGGTGGTCAAAAGGCATAAAATTCCAGTTATAAGATAAATGAGTACTAGGGATATAGTATACAGCATAACAACTATAGTTAATCAGGATGTTTGGCGTATAGGAACGCTATTAAGAGAGTAAGTCCTGGGTGCCTAGGTGGCTCAGTCATTTAAGCGCCTGCCTTTGGCTCAGGTCATGATCCCAGAGTCCTGGGGTAGAGCCCCACATCAGGCTCCCTGCTCCGAGGGGAGCCTGGTTCTCCTTCTCCCTCTGCTGCTCCCCCTGCTTGTGCTCTCTCTCTCTCTCTCTCTCTCTCTCAGTCAAATAAATACATTCTTTAAAAAAAGTAAATCCTGGAAGTTCTCATCATAAGGAAATTTTTTTTCCTTTTTAAAAATATTTATATGAGGTGATAAGTGTTAACTTATTGTAATTATTTCAGACTATATGTAAGTCAGGTCATTATACTGTACATCTTAAACTTATATAGTGATATATGTCAATTATATCTCAATGGAACTGGAAGAAAAAAAGTATAGACTCCCAGAAGTGGAAAATGTTAGATAAGGATGTGAATGTTTTAAAAAAAGATGTATTATTTTAGAGTGAGCATGGGGTGGGGAGAGGCAAAGGAGAGGGGAGAGAGAATCTCAAGCAGACTCCCTGCTGAGCACAGAGCTGGATGCGGGAGCCCCATTCCACGACCCTGAGATCATGACCTGAGCTGAAATCAAGAGTCGGACACTTAACTGACTGAACTACCCAGGCGCTCTATGATGTGAACATTCATAAGGATTTTGATTGTACTGGTTGCCAAATTGTTTTTCAAAAGCCAAATTTATGAAGTCAAGCCTGTGTATGTGAATGTTTGCTTCCTAATATCCTGGCTGGCACTGACGTGCCATTTAAAATACATGTAAAAGTTTCATATATTTTTCATATATTTCCAAATCCTTTGGCTGAAGCAGAAGGTCCTTCTTCCTATTGTTTGTTTCTGGATTGACTATAAATGCAAAAGATTTTTGAGTCAGGGCTGAGGCCTGAGGCAAGGTAAGAGTGAGAGGGACAATGATGAAAAGAGATTCAATTCCTCACTTTTTTTTTAAGATTTTATTTACTTATTAATCAGAGACATAGAGAGAGGCAGAGACATCGTCAGAGGGAGAAGCAGGCTCCCTGCAGGGAGCCCGGTGCAGAACCCAATCCCTAGGACCCCAGGATCACGACCTGAGCTCAACCACTGAGGCACCCAGAGGTCCCAAATTTCTCCTCACTTGCTTTTTATAAGTATTTTTGAAGCAATTTTAAACCTTGAGAAAGGTTATAAGTACAGTACAAAACCTTTTTTCCCTTGGGAAATAATTACTCCCTTGGGAATAAACTTATGGTATTAGTTGCCCCCAAATACTTTAGCGCATATTTCCTATGAACAAAGATATTCTATCTAAACACAATATAACCAGGAATCATGAAATTAATATTGATACATTACTGTTAGCTAATATTCGTATGTTATGTTTTGCTAAACACCCTAATATCCATTATAGCAGAAGAGCATGTTCAAAATCATCTGTTACTTTTATTTATATCAATTTGGAATGGTTTTCCACTCTTGATTTTAATGACCTTGATGCATACGAGCTATTATTTTATAGAATGTTCCTCAATTCTGGTTTGTCTAATTTTTTTTTTTTTAAGAATTACCTTTAGGTGATATCCCTGGCAGAAATATCAGACATGATGCTGTGTTTTTTTCATTACATCTTATTGGGAGGCATAGAATTTTTAATATTGTTCATGTTGATGACTTAAAGTGGTATTTGCTAGTTGTCTCCACTATGAAGTTATTCTCTTTGTAGTAAGTATTTGGTGGAGAGAGATTTTGAAACTATGTAAATATCCTGTTGTTTATGATCTTACCTACCTTCTCTCCTCTGTCCATTTGTTGTTCAATCATTCCATTATGGATTCATGGTTTCTTTCTTTTTCCTTTTTTTCTTCAATGGGATTATAATCTATTACTATCACTACTTAATTTGTTGCTTAAATTATCCCTGATTTGCAGGGGATGGCTCAACCCGGATGGCTCCACGGTTGAGAGTCTGCCTTCGGCTCAGGTCATGATCCTGGGGTCCTGGGATCCAGTCCTGCATCGGGCTCCTTGCTTCTCCCTCTGCCTATGTCTCTGCCTCTTTCTTTGTGTCTCTTATGAATAAATAAATAAAATTTTAAAAAATTTATCCTGATTTGGTCAGTGTGAGCTCTTTCACCTTAACTTCTGTGTCTTTTTACATGTTCCCACCATTTTTTGACTGTTTCTTACTTTCTGGCAGAAGATGAGATGTTCTTGGTCATATTTTACTTTGTCTTCTCTAGCCCTGGAATCAGCCATTTCTCCTGAGAACTCTGATTCTTCTTAGTGGAGAATGGTGTTTAAGAGCCAAGATCTGGGGCTTTGTGTGCTCATTGCTGTGTGCGTGTCCCTGCTCCCAGGCCCCTACAGTGGACTGAGGAATGTGTATGTGCATGTATTTACCTAGTGTTTAATCTCTCTGTATTGAAAGATATCTCCACTGATCCCTTCAATTCTAATTCTGCAGGATTCATTCTCATTTTATCCATTCCCGTTTAACTTTCTCTGGCAGTGACAAAACTGGTTCATAGTATTCTTAATAAATGTACTTATGTGATCAGTCCCCAGGTATGTAACCAATCTCTCATCATTGTAGCTGCTGTCTTCTCCCTTCGGCCCCAGTCCCCGAGCTCTCCTTAACCGTATCCAGACTCTCCATCCTGTACCAGGTTGTTTTGGCCATACGGAAGCCTCCTTAACTTTACTAGAGCTTAGATTCCTGCATCGAGTCACTCCAGCCACATCCCACTTCTGCTCTGACTATGGTGCCTCTCTTGGGCCACATCTCCTCCTTTCCCTTTAGCCTGTGTTAGTACAGAGCTGCTTGAGACAAGGCACAGTTCTCAGTTGCTCTTACGAGCCCTAGCAGATTTTAGCCGAAAGACCAGACCTCTTTGGCTCATTTAGAGAAATCCTACAACTGTTGGTTTGTTCAACCTTAACCTGAGAGGAAAGGAGATACTGAGCTTTGGTGTTTCTTTTTTTACCTGGAGGTCCTTCACCCAAGTTCCACATCACATCCACACTGTCTCTTTCTGGTTGCTGGTGCTTAGAAGGGGCTGAGAAAAAAACCCAGCCAAGCCTCATGGGTTCCCAGCCAGTTAGGTCAGGTCCCATGGGAATGTGTAGTCCTGAAGAGACCAGATCCCCAGACATGAGAGCTGGGGCTTGGGCAACTTACTAGAAAAACAGAACAAGGGCACCACTTTCACTTTCTATCTCAAACTAGAAAGCGGCTCAGGAAAAGTTACCTGGATTCCATGAGTGGACAGATACCTTCCTCTTCTCTCTAGCTTGATTTTCCCATTGCAAACTGTTATCCCTTACTTTGGAGGGGTGAGGAGTGCTAGCTAGGTTCCCTCATAGCTGGGAGTGGGGTAGTGGTAGAGGGGGCAGAGGGAGCTAGTGACTGGGCGGGTGGAGGAGGGATGATGTACTGACTTTCCTGGCAGGGTTAGCCATAGGGTTTTCTCTCAGGAGCTCTCATTCCACCCTGAGGAATAGCAGTAGTTCCTGACTGACAGGCTCCAAGGCGGAGAAGAGGCCGGGGTAGCAAATCTGGGTGCAGTGAACAGATTGTTTAAAAGTGTATTTGCTACCCTGACATACGATAGTATGTTATTATTATAAAATGTACTAGAAGTATGTCTATGCATGTTAAATTTAGGAAGTAATTTTTCCTAGTGCTGTTTTTCTCAATTCCCTGATGCTGTCTCATGTTTAATTAATTTTTAAAAATTGTTTTTGATAGCTACCACGATGTTTGAGGCTGGAAAGGACAAGGTTAATCCAGATGAATTTGCTGTGGCACTTGACGAAACTCTTGGAGACTTTGCATTCCCCGACGAATTTGTCTTTGATGTTTGGGGAGCCATCAGCGATGCGAAACGAGAATGATTATGACGTGGATGATCCATCTCTGGAGAAATGAACCGTTCTTCCTTTTTTAAAAAAAATCCATAAGATTTGTTTTTAGACACTGTTACAGATTGGTTTGGTATTATGTGTATGGAATACATTCTTTGAAATATAATTTTGGCTTCTGGGTCCCTTTTAAATGCAGTTGCAGATGTGGTATGCTTGAGATAAATCACCTAAATTATGACCAATTTTAATACTCATTTAAGGATCTTTTTAAAGTAAGTTTTAGGGAATATTTCTAGAGAGAGAAGTTTTGCTCCTCACTAACACCCATATTTTCCTTTCCACATATAAGTAGCTGATTGCAATAGCTCTGTAGCTCATTTTCAAAATCTCAATGCAGTGAAACTGGGATTAGAGTATGATTTCCCTCCTCACATCTTCATTTTGTTATACCAGCCTGATATGTTCAGGAAATGAAGTTTGAATTATGCCTACTATGGGTCTAGAAAGCATTGTTTTTTCAATCCACTAAGTAAGGAGAAGAGGATTCCTATAGCCTCTTGACATCTATGGCCTACTTTCTTTAATCATAGAACAAGGATTCATTGACTTTTATTTTTTGCATCTTTGTAAATACTTCTAAAAAACTTGTTAAAATCTATTGTACTGTGTATGTGTTTACTTGTGTGGAAGAAGGGTGGAAAGGTAGATAGAGTAGAAACCTCTTATATTTGATTTTTTTAAAGCAGTTCTTAGACAATTATTTCTCTTTTCACTGATACCACTTTTATGTTACCCTTTATAAGCCCTCCAGGGAAGGTTTTTATAGTCTTTGTAGAAATTTTCTTTTGAAAGATATTTACTCAGAAAATAACTATGTTTGAGAACATTTTTTTGGGGGGTGAAAGAGCAACGCTTTTAAGCCCCCTAAACTTTAGAGGAGATACAATCAGAAATCGATTTCCCTCAGTGGAAATAAAGGACGATGGGAGGAATTGAGAAAATATGTTAGTTTATTATTTTAGAGTTCTAACATACTTTCTCTAAAACCTTACATTATTGAGAAAATTGAGGGCAAATGACTGTCTTATCTCTCTTTTTTTTTGACATTTTATGGATGTAAGAGAATGGAAATGAATGGTTTCAACATAGATCATTTAATAAGGCAGAGGATGGTGTGACCAAGCATTCTTCTAAAATGTTAGATGGAAAATGCTGTGTGCTGCCATGGTAATCAGAAATAATAACCCGAGAGGGTTGTATTCCAGGAAATCAGAAGTAATTCCCTTTTCATGCTGAGTTAATGCTTAGATAACTGTTGTTTTCTGGTGCAACTTTACTTTTACTGACATCACTCTTCTTTCACATTAAGTTTAATGCTTTGAAGCAGATACTCTGTCTCATTAATCTGAGACCTGTACAGAAGCCCTGTTTTAGTCACTAATGCGTAACTAGAGGAGTTTATGGAACATGGATTGTATTAACGGACTTGCCCATCATTTGAAAATAGGACCTAGTTCAGGCTGTAATTTGTTGTTACTTTTCTCATGGATTTCTTTTGGAGCTCTCCAAATATCTTTTTAATTTTTTTTTTTAGTTTTTAAAAAAATTCAAAAATTTTATTTTAAGATATCTAGTAATTCTCAACAACACTTCTCTTAGAAGGACACACAAAGAAAGAGTTGATATTTTTAAAGATGGGAAAGTCGAGGTCCATAGGAGCACTTTAACTTAAACAAAATTTCTTGGTACTAGATGTTAGATTTGAAATGATGAGTCACTGCTTATTGTTGATGGATGTCTGTTTGTCCTTCCTTTTTGGACATGCAGGGAGATTGACACCGATTCCCTGTGATTTATGGAATCTCATATTCACAAAGTGAGTTGTGCTCACTGTGATTTTTCTAGAATTTTGATGTGCAAGGTACCAATGTCCATGTATAGCGGTGACTCGTTTGTTGAGTTAATTGGTAGTTATCATCATTTTAACTGGGCACAGGTACTTTAATACAATAGGTGTTTCCTTGAAATGTCTTTATCTCTCACTTCTATTGCTAAGCTGTTGACAAGGATAGTTTCTTTATGTCATCTTCTTCCCTAACCTGAATGTATATTTGTGTGTGAACTTTGTACGTTTTGGTAACTCTCAGTGCACAAAAAGATCAGAGTCTCATTTTAGTGGTCACTGTCTACAGTGTGGGCTGCCCTTCTCCTACTGTGCTAAGACCAGTCTTTTTTCCTTTCATTTAAATGAAATAGCGATGCTATTTCATCGCTACCACTAAACTTTTCCAGAACACTTCTGTTGTTTTCTTTTGTTTAGTTTTCTCCTCCAGTGGAAGATTATTTTATTCTTGATTTTCTTCATGCAAAACTGCATCTCTCAGGAGCCACTAAGATCACGCTGTATTTTCTTTGTGGCAGTGGATGCAGGTGGTGACCGAGTGTTGGGCTTGCTGGGGCCTTGAACACAGCTTGCTCCTGATCATGTACACATTCTGATGATTACAAATAGGTACATTTTGGGTTTCTGTGATGTTTCAAAAAAAAAAAGAATTATATAATTGTAAGATGTGAATCTCTTTTAAAAAGAATTCCGTTATAAAAGCAATAAACAGTTAACCTCTAATTGGGGCTGCTATATCCTATATTGTAATGTGAACAGATAATGAGAGATAATTTTGCCAAATGATTAATTTGCTGTATTTCCCCCCATAACTTTAATAAATAGAGATTTTCCAAGTAAAGCACACCTTCTTTAGGTCTATGTTATTGCTAGACCTTCATCAAGTCTAGAGAGAACCTTTCTGGTGTCCTTCAGTTATCATTGCCTATCTGGCATAGTAGCAAAATGAATTTCATCTGCAAATACAGTTTTCAAAATAATGGTTCTTCTCAATAAGGCACAGTTATCTGCCAAAGGTGTAAAAGATCGATCATATAATGACCCTTTTCACCCTCTGATAAATCTAAAAATATATGGATAACAATAACATTGTTATTATTCTGGTGGAGGTGATGAGTTAGAAGGACAGTCTTGTATTTTCCTCAGGCTATGAGTGAATAAAGAGATAAGAGGTGCTGTTCAGCTTTCAGCCCCAAGAATTAGTGTTCTGTGTAAAACGTACATTTATTATCTTCTTGACACAGATTGAAAGGGACATCAGAGTAATTACAGGTCCTTATACTATCATATCATGGTTATAAAATGTTTCTAAGATTGTGAAGTGTACAAATGGCACAGCCTGTCCCTAGTTATTACCTGGAAACCCAGTTCTAAGAAATGACTCATGGCTAATATCTGCTGAGAGGGTAAAAAATTGACATGTTTTATTTCAATTTGAGACATTAAGACTCTGTAAAACTTAAGTATAGCCATAGATATTTTTAAATCAATGACAAAGAGAAATTAAAAAAGTTTTCTGATAGTTTTAAATAAACACTTTGTATTGTGAACTGTTTGTGCTATGCAATGGTATTGACTATATGCAGATAAAATATTCTGTGTTTTTTGGGGAAAAAAACTTTTGTCTTTTGTAAATCAGCATATACTTTAAAATGTTTTTTGAGATTGAATTTTGGAAATTTATTAATTTGTGAAATTATAACTTATATTTTATTTAAAATTTATGTACTGTATTTCTACTTATAGATGTACAAATGTTTATGTATTGATTAAAGAGTGAATTATTTTAAAGGTATAATTTATAATATTTAAAATATCGCTTCTAAAAATAAACTTTTCATGAAAAAAAATGATGAAAAAATAAAGATTTGGGGTTTTAAATGTTAGACTTTTTAGTTTTGTTTAAATAAATGATTCAAGGGATAACACATGTAATAATTGTTTAGGCCTTTTTAAAAAATTTTTAAAGGTTATTTATTTATTTATTTATTTGAGAGAGAGCTCATGAATGGGGAGCAGGGAACAGGGGAGGGCCAGAGGGAGAGGGAAAAGTAGGCTCCCTGCTGAGCAGGGAGCCCAACCTGGGGTTTGATCATGACCTGAGCGGAGTGGAAGGCAGACACTTAACTAAGTCACCCTGGTGCCCTACTCTTTATGTTTTTAATACATCTTCAGTATATATATTTTCTCAGTGTATTTTGTATGAGGTGTAACCTCTAAGGTCTCTTAGTTTTAAAATTCCAAAATTATGTACTTTGACTCAGTAAAAACACATGGGAGATGTACTGCCAGGGTACTGTAAGGTAAAATAGTCATAAGCTGTTTCTGTTTATAAAATAGAGGTTTACCGAGAGTGATTTTCTTCTTTATTTAACCAAATTTATTGGCAGTAGTTTCCAAACAATAGTGTAAGTAGAAGAAATATCAGCCCATAGCTCTTAGGTGGTTATGCCTTTTGGATTCATTATATCCTTGATACATTTTGAAGGCCCTATAAGAGCTGTTAGAAATTCTTAAAAATACTCTAATTCCGTATGTTTTGGGGGAGGAGGTCCAGGAATCTGCATTTTGACATCCTCCAGATGATTCCAATGGAAGTGAATCGTAGACTTTCACTTAGAGGTCCTCGACAATCAGGACTAGCACTGGGCAGGAACAATAGATATGACTTCAAGAACTCACCATCTGTCGAGGTAGACTGAAGCCTAAAAGAGCTAATATGATTAGGTAAGTCTTAAAATGGATGTAAAATAGTATGGGAAGAAGCTATATAAGATAGTAAGATTTCTTTTAACTTCACCAAGTGGATGATTTTCTAAATGTAAATTGGTATGCTAGAAGGATTTGTTCTTGGAGAAGTAGACTTCCCAATGGGTGCATTATGGATTAATCCATGTGACAGTTTTGCCTCTGCAGGCAATATTTGATGTTTACCATTGATACAAATAAATACTGGCTATTTATCCTGCCCTTATTAGGTATTCTCTTCTAGTTTTGTAGATGAGGATCCTCTTAGAGGATGGTTTTTGGAGTGGAATTGACATGCATGATAAAATTAATCTCTTTCAATGGGAGTAGCCTCAGGGGATACTGTGGTTTTGATTATGGAGAAGCTAAGCTTGTAAAAATGCTGCTTCAAGTCTCCATCTGAATTTTTCTCTTAGTGAGGTTCCTTCATGTAGGGGGTCAAGTGAATATGATTCATGCTTCATTCCTTATGTGTCATCTAAAAATACGTTGGAAATAATGTGATTAAAAAAGTGTAGACCTGATAAATTAATTTAGCTGTGAAAAGTGGTTTCTCTATGTTAGAATTTCTACCCCCTCATTCAGATGTTATTATAAAAATAATTTGATATAATTTAAATTTTATTTTTATAGCTTTCCAGTAAGAAGTAAATAGAAATATAAATATGAAAAAAAAAAAACAAACTCTTTCTTCCCCATAAAGTAAAGAGAAAGCTTTCTCTTCTGCAGTGGCACTGGAGAAAAATAGAATAAAATCCTTTGAAGTTAAGGAATGGTGGAAGAACCATGAGATATGTTAGCTTTGGGAAGGGGAAAATGGGAACATGGCAGCCATCTTCCTGCAATGTCCTTCCCTCTCTCCATTCATCCTTTCCTGGATTGCTCTTTTCCACCATCCTCCATCCATGGGTTCCTCAGGCCTCAGATATGGGTTCTGTCCCCAACTCTGTCTTCTTAGATGACTCATCTCTTCCCATAGTTTTTAGTATCTTTATAGTTACAACTCCCAAATATATATCTCCAGTTTGGATCTCTTCTGAGCTCTATACTCAGATACTCAACTGCTTCCTTGACGTCTCCACTTGTGTGTCAGAACTTTAGCATGTCCAAGATGAAACTTAAATTTTTGGGGTCAGGGTCGGGGAGAGGGACAGAAGGAGAGAAAGAAAATCTTAAGCAGGCTCCATTCCCAGTGTGGAGCCTGATGTGGGGCTTGATCTCATGGCCCTGAGATCATGTCTTGAGCTGAAATCAAGAGTTGGATGCTCACCTGACTGAACCAACAGGTGCCCCTAAAATTTTTTTTTAGTCTTATTTTCCTCAATTTTCTTTGACAGGAAGTGGCATCATAATTCACCTCACTGTTCTTTCTTCAACTACTGCGTCTAATTCAGCAGCAAGTCCTTTTTGTTGTATCTCTGAAAACATCTCCCAAATATCTACTTGTTTCTAGTTTCGCTGTCACCTGTTAAATCCATACCTCATTTCCATCCGGGCTGCTGCTTCAGGCTCTGCACTGCTCTCCCATCTTCCACTCCTGCCCTCCTCCAGTTTAGGTTTTACCTGGTAATGGGAGTGCTCTGAAAACATTGTGCAGTACATGAATATTCAGCTTTCTTGAAAATGTCAGGGTCTCATTTTTTTTTTCCTTTGGAGGGGCTTGACCTTATGCTTGTTTTTGTCTTTGAGGGAAGGGGCACTAGGTTTGGGTGATTCAGCTTCTGCTAAAGGGCTCACAGAGATTAAAGGTTTTATGCTGTGTGTGTGTGTGTGTGTGTGTGTGTGTGTGTGTGTTTGGGAAAGGGAGAGAGATGTCTTTAAAGGTCCAAACAGAAGAAGATTGTGCCTTGTTTTCCTGCAGGCTCATTATGGCTATATGGAATGTTTAGACTAACAGGAACAAGAGCCTTCCAAAGATTCCTGGTGTTTCTTTGCAAAGGCAGTGAGACCCACAGTGAGAGGAGGTGTTTGACGCTTGGGTACCCTTGTGGATGCTTGAGTCATTGAACAGAGCCCACCAGCCTTCATAGCACTTCCCATGCCTTATTTGTTTCTATCATCAATGTGTGGTGAGGATTTTTGTTCACAGTTTTGCTTATTATTTTCTAGAAGGAGAGTTACCACATCAACCCAAACCTCTGGCTTATTCCTGTAGATGCCATCATCTTGGCTCCTTTTTTTGTTTGTTTGTTTGGGCAATGAAATGACCTACATATAAACTTTAGAAAAGAGAGGTGCTCCCTTGCACATGTCTAGTGGAATATTGGGGGCAACCTTTGCTTTTGCACTTGGAAAGCTGAACTGAACCAGCATGAGACCTTTGATGGAGACATGGGCATTTTGCTACATGCTAATGGGATCATACCACTCCCCTCAAGCTTTACAGCGGCCTCCAAAGCCCTACCCACGTCATCACCAGACTCCTCCTAACTCTGTGCTCTCGTTACATTGAACTTGTTTTTCACTTCCAAGTTCTTCCTTTCTTAGTTTTTTCACTTTTTTTCTCTGCCATGAACACCCTTCCTCTGATTTGCATGGCCAGGTCCTTGTCATCCTTTAGTTATTAATAGAAATGCCACTTCTTTGGTGAAGATATTTTTGACCTTAATTTCAGCCCTTATTTGCTTCCATCCTAACTCAGCATTATTTTAAATTATTTTATTAGTTTTTTTTCCATATTCCCCATTGGAATATCAGTTTCTTGGGGAGGGTGGTGGGATTGTTTATGTCTCTCACTGTTATATCCTGAGCACTTGGCATGGAACCTGGTATATATTAAATACTAACAAAATAATTGTTAATGAGGAACTTCAACAAATATCTGTTGAGTGCCTACTGTGTGCTCAGTTGCTGGAAGTAGATCAATTCACGTAATCTTCACAACTCTCTGAGGAAGGTAACGCTTATTTTCATTTTAAAAATGAAGAAATAGGGATGCCTGGGTGGCTCAGTGGTTGAGCCTCTGCCTTTGGCTCAGGGCGTGATCCTGAGGTCCAGGATGGAGTCTTGTATTGGGCTCTCTGCGAGGAACCTGCTTCTCCCTCTGCCTATGCCTCTGTCTCTCATGAATAAGTAAATAAAAGTCTTTTTTTTTTTTTTTAAGATGAAATAGGCCTAGAGAAATTCAACTTGCTCTGAGGCACATGTTTGGCTAGTGGCAATGACAGGATTTGAACTCAGGTTTAGGTCCTAAGCTCTCTCTCAAATTGATCCTGTTAATACTTTACAGAGCAATGTTCTGAGTCACTCAACTGAAGAAAACTGTGAGTGGATTAAAGCTGGAGAACAAGGTTATGGATTCAGTTAGATGCCTGAGTAAGGGAATAGCTACTCAGAGGTCAGGCCCAGAAGGGGACTTAAATGGTTAAGTGACAGATTTTAGGTTAGAAACCATATGCTAAAAGATTTTAGTTGTTCTTTAGATTAAAAAAATTATAACTGGTAATGGCTAAGTCTGAATTTTTTAAAAAAACATCTTAGTCACTGGCATAATAAGTTTTTGCTGGTGTAACTAAAGAAAAACAGATTAAGAAAGTTTTTGACCATTTCTTAGACTATTTCTGGCCTTAGAAATCCTTCGAATCTGATTAGAGTGATTTCCCGGTTTAATTGTTTTGACTTGGGTTGTGGGCATTTTGCTTTTGGAATCATTATTACTTATGTTTCAGAAAACTACTAAGGGGTGATTACTGTGTTCTTTAGTTTTTAAAAAAATGTTGTTAAACAAATTTTAAAAAAGTAGCAGCTAGTTATCAAATGCTCTGTATCATTTACTGTATGAAAATATTGAGGTTTCATGGAGCATGGAATCTCATGATTAACCATTTTTAAGACTCTGAGATACTTGAGTTCTGAGAAATGAATTGGAAAGTTATTTTGTTCAGAAGGTCCATTTCTGGGCAGAAATTATAATTTGTATGCCAAAGGGGTGAGTTTACAGAGATGATTATAAATTCCTTGAATATATTCCCTACTCAGTTCTTTTCTATACATACGAGTGATCGGTTTCAACATATTAACTTATGAGTTGATGAACATTTGTGAGGCTTCCCTCAATGTTAAACCCAAAGTAAGACTATTTGTAACTGTGGTAATTT